CTAAAATTTTAATGTCTGCTCACACGTCTTCTAATAGGCACTGAAAAACAAGCTTAGACCTAATACAAGATTTGAACACCTACGAAGGCTCAAGGCCTTGAGTATTGCAAAGCTGGCATTTTTTATTATTATTATTTTTTTAGAAAATTAGTGGGAGATGAGATTCCCAGTTGGCACTCATATTCAGCATTTGAGCTTGAGTTGTAATCAGTACAATTTGACATGAAAAACAACATGATCTTGAAGCTGCAAATGCCTTATATTTAGGTATGTGCCAGAAAAGCCACTCAGATGGTTGACCACCCAGCTACATATCCTAGCTAATTAAGGTTCTCACTCAAGATTTTAAGTGTCTGCTTCCCTAGGGTCTTAAATTGCAACAATGCTAGTATATACTCATATGATATATCATGGTTTTCCGAGCAATTGGAGACTATCATCAAACATTATTTATGTATCAGTATTAAAAACAGGACAAAGCTTATTTTTAACAAAGATTGATGTGTTCCTACCTAAATGCCAGTGGAGAAACTACTAAAATCTGTATATCCATTTCAGGCATGATTCTTTAAATGACTACATCAGGGGGAACTCCACAGCAGGAACAAAGCCAAAGTATGCATTGGAGATCCTCACTTTTGATTAAGATTCTCTTAACAGTCAGAAAGTAACATTATCCCTTCTAACTGAAATAATCTTTTACAATATGAATAAGTTGAAATTTAATATAAGCTACTTCGAACTTGAGTTAGCCTGATGAAATATGAAACACGTATCAGCTTAGGAATTCAGAAGACATTTCAATGCATTCAGTTGTACTAATAATCTCCAGCACTTTTTGCTGAGCACTTTCAGTAAAAGTGCTTTTTGTACAAATGAATGTTGCCTTTCAAATGGTCGAAGACTCATTCAAAATTGCCTTCAAGTATGTTATGAATTCCTCTTGCTTTTTAGTACATTGGCTCCCTCTTCTGTTCATTTGGTGTAAACAACAAACTGATCAGTTACAGATGTCAGCACCTAATGCAATTGCTTTTTGGAAGCAAGTTCCAAAAGCTTACAAGAAAAGATTATTTCCAGGTATCCTAATGAAGGATACGATCACTCTTCAATACATAAGAATACCTGGGTCAAAAAGAGCTGTATACACAGAGTAATCAACTAAAATGCAATTGTGTGAAGGGTTGTTAAAAAGCACTCTCCAATGAATTAAAAATAAAAAATAAAAAATCGGATTTTAAATGATGAAAAAGACAATTAAATTAACATTTCCAAGTTAAATGATTTTTCAGAAACTGGAAAAAAGTCCACTACAGAATTAAGAGACATTGAAATTAAAGAGTTCATTTGAGCACTGAAGTACCTGCAGTTCAGCCAAAACAGAAGAAGTATAAATTATAAAAGTAGCATGAAATAAGAAAAGATCTAGTAGGTAAACTACCTACCTAATGAATACTTCTACATGAGAAACAGAATTCAAAACTAGTGACTACGGCAAAAATCTGTAGGATTGAAAATGCAGTACCTTTCCTTTAAAAAGAGCGCTGGCAAAATCTCCAGGTTCAGTATCAATAGAAGGTAAGCTGACAACATAATTGGAATTAAAATGTCAGTCCCATAAGGAACATGTTACAGTATAGAGAAGTCTGATTTCCATTTCCTTCTGCTCTCTGTCAGCAGTAGAATGAAGAACGCAAGAAAAGCTGTCAGGGAAAGGCTGGTTCCAGTTAACGTCAGCACATGGCTGCAATGTTGAGGTGTCACACAGAAGTGACAACAACGATATTTTTTAAATTTACCATATGTAGTGCATTTTTCTTATTTGTCTAGAAGACTACATATCAGGTGAAGTGGACCCAAATTATTGCTCAGTTCTCACGTTGCAGCTCACCTTAAATAAGACCTGACATAGTGCAGCTAAAAGCCATGTAAAACTCTACCTGCTTGTTAGCCCTAATAAAAACTGAGAGTTAAAGAAGATCAGCAAAAATCAATGGAACCAACTAAAAACCATCAGACACATTAAAAGAAATTGTCATCAGTCACAGCTGACTGAGGACACAAGCAGTAAATTTCGGTAGGGTACCATAAAGATGAGAACACTCTTCTGTTCAACAACTTTTGGGTGCTTACAACCCACTGGCAGTTTTGTGAGATGAGGGCAGCACAGTCTAACACACAAAAGTATGTTTCAAGACCTGGATGACAAGGAGGGAGAAAACACATAGAGAAAATGGGTGATTCTGATGGTAAGAGAGCAGGGGTTCACACTGCCTCATCAAACAAACACTGGCCCACAGCAGAAAGCTGCAGCGAAAACTGTTAATGAGATATAGAATGCCTTGAGTATTCATTTCTGATCTCCACTGCCAAGTTTATTTTTATACATGACTGTTTAAAAATAAATGCATAAACCATCTGGAAAACACACAACTTTTCCCCTGCTCCAAGGTATGTTTTTTGAACACTGTGCTCCAGTTAGGTCCCCATTGCTTGTTTTCTTTCCAGTTCTGATTTTGCATAAAGACAGCACCAAAAGAAGCAGAGAACATTTTTGTTCTAGCATGTTTTCACCTTGATGTTTAAAACAGTATTCTAGAAATTCAGAGATGCCAGTTGGCATCCTGTCACCAATGCAAACATGTAATCCAAGTCTCTCACCTCTGGTGAAACCCCTAACCAGAAACTAATTATTTGAAAAGCAACCATAATATTTTCTCCATTTCAGAGCAAAATAATTGTGGAAAAGAAGTCCATGCAGGTACTTACATGCAAGCAGTGAATCACGAGCACATGGATGTAGCCATCTCAGTCCCGATTCAGACGTGACTGCTGGAAAAGGACAAGACTGCATACAGGTTCTCAGGGTTAATGTTCTTGCTAGCGCTGGGCCGCTCTCTTTTCAGAATAACCTGGTTTTCAGGGTATCAGTTTTAAACTGTTCAACTCATCCTATATGCAGCAACATAAAGAATTTTGTTGCTTTAGGTCCTGGAAGAGTTTTTTGGATGCATTTTAAAGGCAAATGACCAAGCTTAATAGAAGTAAATGTGTGCACTTTAATGACCTTTGATATATATGTTAAGACTAGAGTATCTGATAATTCCTTTACAAGTTCAATCTCCTTTCCTCCCCTTAAGAGAAGCCTAACATATCACATTTGTTTTGGACAACTGATACTATATTTCATAACTAAAAAAAAAAAAAGACCCTTCAGCCACAGTGTCTATCTACAATGGTGTGAATTGCTACCAATGCAGATTCCCCAAATGCAGCTGTGCTGCTGTTTGCAGTGAGATCACATGAATTGTCACTCTAAAATGGAGCTTCTGTATCATTAAATTTCTCCAGGATGCATAACTAATAACTTCCATGATTTCAAAATTCTACTGTTTCATTCTGGTTTTGAAAAGTAATACTTTGAAAAGGTGTATGTTTGATGGCACAGTGCCATTAAAATCCCATCTTTATGGGATTGTGCAACGTTTGGTGCCTTGACTCCTTAATCTATAACTATAAATTACTGAAATACCACATGTGTGTTTAAACTGAAAACACTACACTTGCTACTTCATAAAACATAAGCTTTCTGTTCAGTAAAACTTGAAACTAAAGAAGAAAATACTGATTATACAGTCAATCTAATTCCTTCCCTAGTCCCACCCCCCTTCCAAAAACAAAACAAAAACCCAACCAAGAAACCAACAAAAAAGTACCACCCAGGTACTTGCATTCATACAAGCCTCAATAAGTGACAATTTTACATTCTTCCATTTCAGTATTCCTAATTTGCTGAGCCATTTGCAGCAATGCTATGGTAACATGCTTGCCCAGTGGTATCAAGAAGAATGGAAGCTAACTATTTACTACAACAAATCTCGTGAACTGTTGCTAACCAGCACTGTATGCATAGAAAAGTGACATTTTAACAGTTAGTTCTTTTCTCCAAAACATAAATAAGGATCCATCACCAATCTAGAATGAAAAAGTTCAGTTTTCTCCCCTTCCAACAGTATGCATTAGCTTGAACTTCACTCCTGTAAAAAGGCTTTAAGATACAGATAAAACCAAACAAGCTAAACTAAGTATATTACTACCTTAGGACAAAGGATCATTCTTTTTCCTGGAGTTTTTTTCTGATGGGATATAACTTCATCTGTGCAGACTTAAATGGTGTCTAACTGCAAAACCCTCCTCAGAATATACTGTTTTTTCTCCACCCTTATCAGAAAAGAACAACAGCTTGAAAAATCTAAATGTTGCAGTTTCGAAAGGTGCCAATGGAACAGTTTCACAGTATGCTTTTATAATCCATCTTAAAAAGACTGTAGAGCTGGGTAAGGTTATGTTCTGCATCTAGGGCTGTTCTATCAGGGTTCTGACACAGTGAAAAACCAACAGGTTCTGCATAGCTGTAAAAGTGCAATAAAAACACCACTTCTGAAGACTGTGCAGTGTCTAACAACTACAGCTTGAAGGTATATCTTCACTTCTGTTGGTTTTCTGTTTGTTGAACATGCTTAATATTGAGTCTTCCTTCCTATTTGCATGAAACACTACCTGCACACTCAGTTTGAAAAAAAAAAAAAAAAATCAAGAAAAAAAACCCACAAAACATCACAAAGCAACCATCGAGACTTCTCAGCAGTCTTCTTTTCACTTACTGTGAACAGCCCCTTCCAACTCAGTTGCTAAACATTCTGTCCTGACATAACGTGAGAATTCCACCAACTTTACAGCACAGCTTCAAGATATTTTGAGTTTTCAGTTCTATCCAATTAAAGAAGCACAGCAAAGGTAACACTGGAAGAAGAGTCTAGCTTTGCTGGTTCTAGTTCAAAATACTTTCTAACTCTACCACACTTCCAAGTACTTTTCATACCAGCATTCACACCACACTATTAGCATTTACTTTCTTCATGCTGAGCTTTTGCTTGTCCTTTAGTGAAATAAAGCCTGTATGACCCCACCATATCTGTTTCAGACACATACAGCAAACAAGACTTTGAATTCTTTTAATTTACAAGATTGAGCGCTCTTAGTTGTGCCTTACTGTTGATACACAGTAAATACATTCATCTGAACAATTTGCTTAGTCTGAAAAAAAAAAACACAAAACAAACAATTTAAACACTAAAATACTACTTAACACTATTAATGACACAGGCTATAGCCAGGCACAGAAGAAGACTGTTTCCTATTAGTCTACCAGTGCATTCACTGCTATGCATCTCCATCAGCAGTTGCGTGTAACAGTAGATTTTAGGTTAATGCTACTGCTGAAATAAGATTTATCAACTCTCAGCTTGGCCTTTTGTAGTTACCTTTCCAGAAGAAATGTTCCTTCTTTCATTCATTATACTACAAATGTTTGTTCTCTGGAGATCTACTGAACACAGTTTCAATAACATTCAGAAAGATGTAAAGATGATACTGGAGAATTATAGTCTACTGCTGCATGCACCTGTGAAAGTCCAGATAAATCAAGTAACATGTTTCTCCCAGATCAAAGGATCTGGCCACAAGCGTCATTTTACAAGTAGCACTTGAGAGATAGATACTCTTATCTCAAGCTTTAGATAGATTAATATGCACCACAACACCTAGAACTGATCAAGTTTAGAAAAATATTTTTAAGTCTTTGTTTACTTTTAAATCTTTAGTGTAATGTAACAGAAGACTTATGGCAGAAGATGCCAAGGCCCACTCTGCTTCTTTACCTTGAAGAGTTGGGTTATCAAAGTTATTACACTTTTGACAGTTACTTGTTTGATAATTTCTTTTGTTTTAAACAATGAAGAGGCAAAAATTTTTTTGTTTGTTTTTAATTTCATGATTAAGAACAACTGAACATTATACTCATTTAAATCAACCCAGTTACATAGCTTCCATAAGTTAACGGCTGCCAAGTGTGTTCATCAGTAACCCACCATGAGTGACATTATCTGATGGGTAAAACTGATTTTAAGGTTAGACATGGTATACGTAAAAATAGAAAGTTTAAAAACCAATCTTGTCACAGACATTTCCATTGCCATCTCCTTTGTGAAATAAATAAGGCAGCAGATAACTTTTATTTTGAAGTGGCATCTTTGAGATATGCTATTAAGTCTACTCTCTCAGACTTCTTCTTGATACCCGCGAAAATCATCTTTGTTCCTGGGATGTACTTCTTTGGATTTTCCAAATACTCCATCAGAGTATCCTCACCCCAAGTGATACCTGGCAAAAAAAATGAAAAAATAAGAAAAAACAAGCAGTGACTTCAAAGTGAAATGAATACACTTTTTTTTTTCTGGTCGTTCACATTATTTTGCTTTCTGCAGGTTTCAGTACTTCTGACTATCACCAAGAACCACTAGTAGCTCAGGGGAGCTGTTTTACATTTACCTTTGTTCTTATTAGCATCTGTGTAAGAGAAGCCCTCAGCTTGCCCTGTTTTGCGTCCAAACAGGCCATGGAGATTGGGTCCAGTCTTGTGTTTGCCTCCTTTTTCAACTGTATGGCACTGGGAACATTTCTGGACAAAAATCTTCTTGCCCTTCTCAATATCTCCCATTGTTGGTACTAGACCAGGAACACATACAGAGGTCAGAATTACAATATCAAGGTCAACTACTCAACAGAAACTTTAAAAAGGTTCACATGGGTTTACAAAACTGCAGCTACAGCCCATCAATCTGGTAACGCTCCTGAATGCCTTCCAGCCACAAGTTATAGCTCTTGGGTTTGAAGATCTACATAGAACCATTAGACTATGTAAAAGGTACTAGGGTAACAGACTTTATGCCTAAAGAACAGGAAAAGAAACCATGCCTCAGCAGGAAAAGAAACCATACCTCAGCTCAAGTGGTTTCCCCAGAGCATTTAAGAAGCACGGCAGTAACTTCTGAAGTGCAAATTGAGCACAAGTTCCAGGTATAGCTTGGGCATCAACAACCGCGGGGCAGCCCAGTCACCAACAGCCTCGCATAAAGGACAGAACTGCTCCCGTTCCCACTCCCTAACTGCAGCACGCCGCCTCGGAAGCACCGAGAGCGGCACCGCAGCTCAGTGGTGAGCTGACCTTGAGGCGAGCGGCGCGCCCGGCGCGGTCAGCTCACCACAGAATGATGGCCGGCCCAGCAGCTTCGTCCGCAGCGAGGCCCCCCGCAACCTCCCGGGCCCCCCAGGACGCGGCGCCCCGCGAGGCGCTAGGCCCGGCCGTGACCTTCCGCCGCCGGCTGAGGCCGTGCCTCAGGGATTCTGGCGGGCCGCTGTCCAGGCAGGCGGCAGAACCACCCGGCCCCGTCCCTCATCGCCCCTTTCCCGCCTAACCGTCCCGCCGGGCCGCGTAGCGGCACCAGACGCAGGCGCCGCCACTTGGAGGTCAGAGCCCGATCACCCGTGGGCTTCGCCTGACGCCAGCCGCACCTGCCTAGCCGGCCGCTCCGCTTACGCTGCGCCAACGGCGGTGACAAGTACGGCCGCCCCACACCGTCCGGCTTCTGCGCCCAAGGACACGCCGGACTCCGCCCTATGTAAGCCGGTGTCGCTGCAGCCAAACCGCGCCGGCACCCCGCCCGCCCACTCTGGCTCGGTAGGCAATCAAATGCAGCCTGCTGGACTTCTGATTGGTTATAGCACCTGTCCGTCAAGGATGACGTCACGACTCTGGCGAGTAGCAGGGTAGGTTGCGCGGCGGGCGCCGGGCTCCCTCTCCTACTACTTCCGGCGGAAGACGTGCGGCGGAACTCCTCTACGTAAAGGCAGACGCGAAGCGCGGGATGGCTTGCCACGCATGCGCACAGCGGAAGGTGAGGCATGTGTGGTGCGGTGTCCCGATCACGTTCTGACCTCAGCTGGCGGCGGCGTGGCGGTGGGCGGGGCCCGGGCCGTGACCGTGACGTCAGCCCCTGCCGGCGAGTTTCGGGTGAGGGGAGAGAGCGAGGAGCGGGAGGGTGGGGGGAGAGTTGGGCTTCCGTGAGGACTTTGCTACTTTGCTTATGGTATGTGGTTAGATTCATGTCAGCGAGGTCCAGGGGTCACCTTGACTTCTGCTGGTGCTGAATTCCAATCTCAAACCAAGACTCCCAGAAATATGACTGGACAGATTAAAAACTAAAGATATTGTGTTTAGTTTGGTGTTCAGTAGGTTTTTTAATAACGCCTGTGCAATGCTTCTTGGCATTGGCTGTATGTAACGGGATCCTGAGGCTCATGGTAAGCCTTCCATCACAGAGCAGGAGGTGCCTTTTAAGCTGCCTTAAGAACTGACAGGAGTGTAAACTCTTAAGCTTCTTTAAGCACTCAATGAGGGCTGATGCGGGCTGGTTGGAGGACTTGGTGAGCACTGGTGCCTGCTGACATCCACTCAGAAGGTCTGTTCTTCACTGCAGGCAGACTTGAAGGATGTGTGATTCACCATTTTGATTGGGTTTTGGTGTCTAAATGCATACGTTCTGTGCTAAGCACTGTGTCTTAAGCCTCACGGTTACCACTTCTGATCCTGGTGGAAGGACATTGTAGCAATGTTCATTCCTTTTCTGAGGGAGTCATACACCCATCTGAACTGAAAGGGACTCTTAAAAGCCATCCAGACCAGCTCAAGGGCAATAAACAGGGACATCTGCAGCTAGATGTACTCAGACAGGTGCTCAGAGCCCTGTCCAAATCTGACTGTGAATGTCTCCAGGGATGGGACACCCACCTCTGGGCATAAAAATATAATAGTTGAGTAGAATCATAGAATCGCAAGGTTGTAAAAGACCTACAAGATCATCTTAGTCCAGCTGTTCTCCCATCACCGTTACTGCCACAAGCTACTAACCCTGATCTTGTAGCTCCTCATCCAGACACCTCTTGACTCCGTCGCCTCCCTGGGCAGGCTATTCCAGTGCCTGACCACTCTCTGAGAGAAAAAGTTTTTCCTTATGTCTAATCTAAATCTCCCCTGGCACAACTTGTGGCCATTTCCTCAGGTCCTGGCTAAACCCCTCCTCATCATAACCTCCCTTCAGCTAATTGTTGTAGAGTGCAATAAGGTCTCCCCTGAGCCTCCTCTTCTCCAGACTAAACAATCCCTCAGCTCCCTCAGCCACTCCTCATAAGACTTGTGCTCCAGACTCCTCACCAGTTTCATTGCTCTTCTCTGGACACATTCCAGGCCTCAATGTCTTGCTTGTAGTGAAGGGCTAAAAACTGAACACTGTACTTGAGGTGCAGCCTCAAGAGCTGAGTACAGGGGCAAAGTAGATGTATTTTCACCAGTAAGGACCGGCATGTCAGATGGAGAGAACCTGATTTGTTTGCGCCTACTTTGCTTTAATTAAGTGTGAGCGTGTGTGACACAATGGGAAGAACTGGTGTGCTAGTGCAGCAGAAGTTGCAAGAAGGGGGTGGTTGTTCAAGGTGCCCAGTGTTTTACTTTTGGAAACATTCTGCAGTAGGACAGATTAGTAATGAAATGTTACCCTTCTCTGCTAGACACAGGATTTGTAGTGTATATTTTGCATGAATCCTGCATAAGTTTTATGACTTCTTCAGTAGGACAGAATATGTGGAATTTCTGGAGGCTGTGCAGAAGGCAAAGTCAAGGCTTTTGTGTCTTTGTGGGTTTGCATTGCAGAAGTAAACTAAAATTACTCAACACATTTTCAGTGCACTGTTACTTTTCTAGCTGTAATAAAATTAATTGGGATGTTTACCTTGATGTGGTTTGCCTGGAACAACTGTGTTTTAAGCTTTCAGTTATTCACAGTGGTTATACCTTAAACAACTTCATCTTTTTATTCACTCAGATCATTTCAAACTGCAGTGATTATTTTGCAGCTTATTTATGCTTGTTGCAATGTAATTTTGTTCTGAAAGAAGGGGAAATAAAACAAATATATACCCAAGTACAGTTTAGAGGCAACGTAACAAAACATCCAATCAGTTCTCTTCAGAGGTACACTGCAGATGAAAGAGGAAATATCACCTTCTTGGGACCGGGCTGAAACTCAGGAGATCATGATTTATTTCTCAGTTTTGGAATATATATCTTGTGTTGTCTTTGACAAATATACTTTTTCAAATGAAAAATGTGTTATTAAAATGAATATCTATATTGCACTCAATGTTTATTTTTCCATTATTGAAAAGTTAAAAAAAGTTAAAAAAGTTAAAAAAGTTAAAAGCTCTTGTCAAGATAAAAAGGATCATAGAATCCTTAGAGTTGGAAGGTCCAAATCCCTTGCAGTGAGCAGGGACACCACAGCTAGATCAGGTTGCTCAGGTCCTGATCCAGCCTCACCTTGAAACTCTCCAGGGATGGGGCATCCACCACCTCTCTGGGCACCTTGTACGAGTGCCTCACTACCCTCATTGTGGAGGACTTTTTCCTTATATCTAACTTTAATCTCCCCTCTTAAGCTTGAAACCATTTCCCTTTGTTCTATCACCACAGATGCTGCTAAAGAGTCTGTCCTCTTCTTTCCTGTAGCTCCTCTTTAGATACTGAAAGGCCACTATCATGTCATCTTGGAGCCTTCTCTTCTGAAGACTGAACAGCCCCAGCTTTTTCAGCCTGTCCTTGTAGGGGAGGTGTTCCATCCCGTGGATTGGTTTTGTGGCCTTTGTCTGGACAAGCTCCAACAAATCTATGTCTCTCCTGTACTAAGAACTCCACATCTGAACGCAGTACTCCAGGTGAGGTCTCATCAGCACAGAGCAGAGGGGTAGGATCTCCTCTCTCACCCTGCTGGCCATGCTACATTTGATGCAGCCCAAGATACAGTTGGCCTTCTGGGCTGCAAAATCACATTGCTAGCTCTTGTCCAGATGCCATCCAACATTACCCTCAGGTGTTTTTTTGGTAGGGCTGCACTCAATCCTTTCATCACCCAGCTTGTATTGGTATTGGTAGTGGGGGTTGCCTTGGCCCAGGAACTTGCCATTGGATTTGTTGAGCGTCATGAGGTTCACCTGGGCCCACTGCTCGAGCCTGTCTAGGTCTTTCTGGATGGCATCCTGTCCCTCAGGTGTGTTGACCACACCTCACAGTTTGGTGTCATCTGCAAACCTGCAGTGCGCTCGACCCCACTGTCATTGTCACTGATGAAGATATTAAAGAGTAAAGATATTGAAAAGAATCGCTGTTGTATTGTCATATACCTCTGCTATGAAGATAACATGTTTGGGTATGTATGTAGAAGTATTTTATGTACCCAAGGGTGCAAAGTAGATATTGAAGGATTTGATCTCAGCAAATAAAGTAGAATCTAAAACTCTTTTTGTATCTACTCCTTCTATTTTGTAGAGTGAATTTTGTAGAGCTGTTGATGCAGCTGTGTGGCACTAAGGGGGAGAGAAAGGCTATCCTGCTATGGGAGGTTTCATGTGTACAAAGGACTGAATGTTTAATCTTAGTCTCATGCTGTTGTGGAGTCTGATACAGTTTACTGGAAAGCTACGGTTAAAAGAAGTATAAAATATCCTTGAGCATTGTCTGAGAATCTGATTCCTTCTGGTAAGCAGGCCCAGTGTCCAGCACAGGAGCCTGCCAATTAGCAGATAAACAGCTATAAGAGCTATAAATTTAGTCTAGCATACTGCAATCTGTCCTTATCTTGAACCCTTTGACCCCCGTTCTGGGCACCAAAATGAAGTGTTGTGATTTAACCCTGGTAGACAGCCAAGTAACACAGCTGCTCACTTTCCTCAGAGAGGTGGGGAAGAGAATCAGAAAGGCAACAGTGAAAAAAACTCAAGGGTTGAGACAAATATTGTTTAATAGGTCAAGCAAAAGCTGCACAAGCAAGCAAATCAAAATAAGGAATTAATTCACTATTTTCCACCAACAGGCAGATGTTTAGTCATTTCCATGAGAACAGAACTTCATCACATATAGTGGTTTCTTGGGAAGACCCAGCATAACTCTGAATATACCCCTTTCCTCATTTTCCCCCAAGCTGTTATTGCTGCACATGGTGACACATGGTGTAGAATATCTCCTTGGTCTGTTAGAGTTAGCTGTGCTGGCTGTGTCCCCTCCCATCAACACTGCCAGCTTGCTCACTTGCAGAAATGTCCTTGATTTGTCTAAGCACTACACAGAAACAGCTAAAACACTGGCACATTATCAACACCGTTCTCATTACAAATCCAAAGCATAGCACCATGCAAGCCACTATGAAGAAAATAAACTCTATCCTTGCCGCAAGCAGCACAAAGGAATAGGCAGGTTGTATTGAAGTGCTTCTTTATTTGTTAATATTTTTAAAATACCAGTGAATGTATCAGTTATGGAAATAAAAAGCATTGAAACCATAGAATTCATGTCTCCTTCCCTCATTAATGTTATCTCTGAGATCTTTTGTCTCTCCGTTGATAGAATCGTGAAAACGTTTTTGTGCCGCTGTCTTTGAGAAGGAATCCTGCAGCTCCAGCAGCACTGTTTGGCGCCGAGCAACCTCAGAGCCAGGGATCCACTCAGGCAGTGCCACCTCTCTTAGTCTGTCCTCTGGTCTCCATGCAGGCTCACTTGCTTCTTGGTTCCAGAGCTTGTGCAATACAATTTTGCTTTCCTCCCTGTTTCCATCCTGCGGTAAGACTGCCTCACTAAGTGGGTTTGCCCATATTGTATGTTGGTCCAAATGTTTGGTCTTTAAATCTTCCCAGGAAAGAGAATGTGCAGACTCTGGAAGGGACTGAAGTTCAGGCCTTCCTGAAAACTGCCCCTGGGACAGTGCTTCCGCTTGCTTTCTATCAATGATTTTCTGAAATGTGCTTATTGGTAGCCCTGCATCCAGATAGTGGTCTTTCTGTTGGGATACCTGAGGCGGTTTGGCCTGCTCGTGGCAGCAGTGCTGTCCCTGCAGAACAGATTCACGGGGACGGCGGCCTTGCAGCAAACGCACCGTGCGCCCTCCAAGCGGCCTCACTTGTGAGAGACTAGACACGAATGTTTCTTTCTAAGGGAAGAAGGAACAGAATTAACACTGCAATCTGAGCCTTTTAGCAGCAATTGGTGTAACTGTTGTCTGAGACTAGTGAAATTACTAATTTCTGAGTCTGTCTTTACTGCCCCACACTGTGGGACATGAGGGAAGCGTGATGCCTGGGAGCTTGCTGTATCATGCCTGGTGTGAGTGCCACAGCACTCTTGGCCACTTCTTCACTCTGACAGTATGCAAAACATGCTGGCAAAGGGATGCAGCCCAAGCATTTGTAACAGCCCTGCTGCTTAGGTGGGTTGGAGTTGGTCTTTTTGTTTTGGAAAAGACAAAATATTCTGCTTTAACACTAGATATAAGGGGTTATAAAGGTCTTGTGCCTTCATCTCTGTTTCTCTACAAGCAACTATCTTCCAATTTTTGGTTTTGTAAGTAGTTCTGTAACATGAACAGTGACTTGCAGTAGCACGTTTTTAACTTTTGGGGAACTGTTGGTAGTGGGACTGAGGATGTTGACCGGCACGCAGCTTTTTAGCTCTCTCAACCACAGTTAGAACCACTGCTTGAATACTGTTACCATGTATTCATCATTTATTGTGTTGAAGCTTCAGATACTAACATGAACTCAAAGCCACACTGTATAACAAAACACCTTTGTGTCCTGTTCCCAGACAGTGGACATGCAGTTACCATGCTGAATGTTCTGAGTATTTGATATTTAGTATATGCATCTTTGAAATAGGATTATGTTTTTTAGATAAATCAGCATGGCACAAGGTAGGTTTCTACCAATCACACTTTGGAAGACAGGGGGCAATAAAACTGCTCTGTTTTGAATTGATGTAAGCTGCGACTTTGGATTTTCATTTCCAGAGATGAGCTCCTGAAATGGTTCTTTAAAGTGTTCATGATCACAAAGCAAAATGTTTGTTTCTTCATCATGTTAGAGAAAAAGACAGTCAGTGTTTCCATTTCAGATGCAGTGATTCGATTATCAACAACTTGTAAATACCCTTTTGAAGGAGATTTCATTTCTTAGATTAAAAAAATAATAATAAAAATAAAAATCCAGTAGTAAAAAGCATGACAGTTTGGGGTCTTTTTACCCAGGACTATTTTTGGACTATAAGTAAAAAAAAAAAAAAAAGGACTGCAGTCATATCTGAAGGCATTACAAAGAAGTTTGAAACTGCAAGTGCTGTAAAACCAGCAGTACTGTGAAAGTGTGAGGAGGAATCTATTCTACCTGCAGACTTGCTTAGTCAGTTCCAATCAATTATACCTGTGTATGTACTGGCCATGACAGTGTGCAGGTGTCACTGACAGGGCTTAAGCCATTACAGGTAATGATGCATTAGCAAGAAGCAGCTCAACTTGATTTACTACTCCTATGTATCATGTCATGCTTTGTTTGCAGTGTCTTTTTACTTTAATACAGGTCACACTAAATACAAACATTGTTGAAGGTAATAAGGATAGTTTTCCAGTCGATCTTGTATATTCTTTACAGTAAGTATTTGCATTAAAATACAATTTGGTAATATTATGGATGCACCATTAGGGAAGAAAGGCAAACCACTCACATAAATGAAGGAGGATGAATCACAGAAACTCTTCCAGACTTAAACTGGTATAGTTAGCAAGGACACAACAGTCTGCAATGGTAGTAGGTCACTTATCAAATAAAGCAATGGGCAATAAAGTCATTAAGCTGATGAGTTCAGTGCAGCTGTGCTGATTAACACCAGCTAAATGTCTAGCAAGTGTATTTCAGTTTTTTGCAAGACTGCACCATTTAGAGAGCTGCCAACTCCTTTTACGTAGACTGTTACTTGCATTTCCCAACGCAAAAGGCCTTTTGAGTTGGTAGCAACTTTAAATTATAAGATAAAAAATAAGCAGATGATCACAATAACCTGACACCAGCACCTCAAGCCCTGAACCAAGTCACTAACCCGTCACAGCTGTTCTATCAAGCAGCTCTGTCAGGAAGGATTTCGTATACCGAACTTTTGCCTTTCTTTTAGAATGAGTCTTGCCTTGCATTTAAGTGGTGTGAAAGGGAACGCTTTGTTCTTACAGTTGAATCTGGTAATACTCTTGTTGATATTAACTGTGGGGAAAGCATCTGATTCTGAGTAAATGCTGTACTTACAAGTTCCACATCTGTACCAAGTTCTCCAGTTAATCTGCCAACTGCTTTCATGTAGTAATCATCCAGGATAAGGGGATTCATAGGACCTCTTCCTTAATGGAGATATATTTTATTGTCATGCATTTTTTATTAGTTAGGAAAATGAGAATTAGTGCTCAGTCTCTCTGAAAAATACCAGATCATTTACAGTTTATGTGGCCTTGGTTACTAAATTACAAAAAGTGAATATCTTGGAGAGAAATAGGGGATAACATCTTGTGGTCTTTAATTGCTATCCCAAGTAAATTAACAACAACAACAAAATGCTTACCTGTGAAGTTTCGATTGTATGTTGTGATCCACTGAGCTCTTTCAAGGTTTTGTAGTATATTGCTTGTTCTTGAAGAGACCTTATGTTCTAACTCTCTAAAAGTGGAATTAGGGGCCACAATTTTTGATGGATTTGGATAGTATATTTGATCCTTTTCTTCAGAGAATTTAGGAAGCTAAAGGATAAGAAGAAATAGGTAAGGTACATCCCAAACATGTGGATAAAATATTTTAAAGGTTTAAAATATCCCACCTGCCCCAACATAATCTGTTTAGAAACTCTAATGCAAATCTTTTTTCCAGTATTGCGACTGAAGTGGGAACATTTAACAGGTACATGACTCAGTTGAATTCTGTTGAAAGAACTTTCTGTTGAAAGCAACTTCTCTGCCACACGAAGGCAGAACATTGGAAACTATATAAGCTTTATTTTGTAGTCACAATAATAGCCTGCCTGAAAATGGACTGCCACTTTGATTTTCCCCTTTTGTGTCCCTAAGACCGTGTCTACAAAGACCTTGTTTATAGCTTTTGTTGTTTACCACTGTCTTTTCCTACATTCATCATGACTTTTATCTGTCAACAAACTTCAAGCTGTATCCCTCTAGGAAGAGAACTACTGTTTAACTGGGCTGAAGAATAGTAGAAACCCAATCATTCACAAAGAATTTCACTCTTCTGTTTCATGGATCGGGATAGTCCCATCATTATAACTGAGGAAAGCAAGGTTGGAGTCTATTCAAAAGAAGATGTGTATTTCCTTCAGGACATGAGAATAGAGTATGTATAACACTCTGTCAGTATGACAGGACTTTTGGAAAGGTATGGAGAAACAAAAACTGCTGCTCAGAACCATTTCTCTTAAGGACTGCAAAGTGTGATTTTATTCTTTAATCCCCCCACCTCCTACAACCCTGAATGCATCATCATCAGCTACTATTAGATCTTGTTCTTATCTCCAGATCTGTTCAGCTAGAACTTAAGAGAATTAGTCAACACTTGAAGGACTTCAGTTATAAGACAACCAGCTTATCTTCATATGTTGCTGAGGTGGGTGAAAGCCTTGCACTCTTCCTGTATGTGATGCTCTATTAATGACCTGAAAGTATTTGGAACAGTACAGTGCCTCCCTATGTAACATTTTTTCCTTCATGAAGGATATAAGGAAGTTTGATTTAAAAGGGAAAAAAGAAAGACATTCTACTCTTTGCTTTATGAGTGACATACTTGCAAGCATGCGTGCTGTCTTGAACAGCACAAAGCCTCCTTCAGGGAGTCAAAGGGAGTGCCGACAACTTCATGCCTGTATGGGTTACCTGCAATAATAACACCATTGATCAGAATGACAGATGGATCTGCATTTTAAGCTGTAGATGTTTGCTCACACTGTAGACAATTGTGCTGATTGCAGATGTTTTTTTCTGGAGCCACCTCTAACATCTTTTCTACCTAGATAGAGAGACTTCACAGATTTGCAGACAGAACTCATCTCTACTCTTCTGTAACAAAATCAGCAGGATTAGATCAGCTCATGTATTTAATGAGCTGTCTTTCTGGAAGTTATAAAACTCTCACTTGAGTGGAACATTCTGATGTGAGAGAAAGTCAAATCACATGGAGGGAACAGCAAATGAAATTAAAGTGCTTCCTAGGTGCCAGCAGTAGCTGTTCTCTTAGCTAGTAATTCTGAACCTACTTAGCTTTTCTGGAAATAGAGCTTGGCCTCCAGTGATCCTCCTATTGTGCAAAAATAGACTTTGTTAAGTCCACCTCCACATGTGCGATTAGCATTTCTAAAACTGAACAATGATCAGTGAAAAATGACTAATAAAAGCCACTCCTGGCATTAATATTCTATAGGGAAATTTTTGATTTGGATAAATAAGCATTCCCCCCCCCCGAAAAAAAAAGGTATACATAATTATATACGTAAGTGTACAGTTCTGGCAATGACTAGGAATGGCAACTAATTAATGCAAATTGAGCTGTTACTTAACATTATCAGCCTTTACTGTACTGAAAAGCTTCTTATCCATGCCAGTGTGTGCTGCTTCTGTTTCACATAGCTATTGCCAAAACCATTCTGGAGAGCCATAGAACAGAGAGGTGGTGGCTTTCTCCTGTCTCATCTTTCCCCTGAGTCTGTGTGGTCAACAGCTGCCAAGTATTGCTCATCGCTTCATTCAGATAGTCTGGGAAGTCATCCGAAAGAAAGTACCCGTCAAAGTCCTGATGTAGTAGGCACCCCAGAAAACAAAAACAAAAACAACCAAAAAAACCAGCAGAACAAGAACAAGGTTATCTTTCCCTTTTCATCCAATGTATTATTTAAACCACTTTCAGGACAAAATGCTGCTGGGCTTAAACACTGGCACATCATGATGGCTTACACTGTGTTCCTTAAAAAATAAGTTCCTTTGGCATTCTAGACTTCATTCTATCATTTCCGTAGTGATAAAAGATTTTAATCATTCAGTATTCATTTCAGGGATACTTCTTTTGTCTTCAGCCAAGATACGGCAGGCATGGCTTTTGCCCAGAAATTGCTAGTTTTTGAACCCTCTGATGGATTTTTTCCTTATCTGTTGTTCCCTCAGACCATGAAGAACTATTTGCCTATCAGAAGCCATCAGATATGCTGGATGATATATCTTGCTTTCATGGAGATTAACAGTAATTTTAATGGTTCTGTTATCTTCTGAGGCTACAAAGTCTTTACATGAGACAGAGGTTAACTTATCATTCTCAGAGCTGAGGTATCCCCATGGAGACTGCATCAGCACACAAGATGCTCAACTTGACCACGTATGTTCTCAGATCCTGGCTCTGTTAAGCTTCATTAGAAAAGAGTCATGAGACTTAAGCAGAGTTCTAAATACGGTTCTTCAATAAGTGATCGACCAACACAAAACCGTCTTACCTCTGGTCTTCCTTAGAACAACCATGTCAAAAGCCTTGCAAGGGATATTAGAATGGAAAGGCTGGCAACTGCTTGCATCAGTTCCAGTGTCTCGATCCTCAGGTGATCTGAAGTCTGGGAACATGGCATACCTAGAGATGTGTGTCTGGTAGGGATGAGAGGTGGGAAACGGCAGGCTCAGCGGTCTTGAATTGGTTTCAGTTGGCAGGAGAATGAACAGAAAGAAAGAATTCTTATTTCACATTTCACAGAGTTTTAGCATGAAATATAGCAGTTTGCGAGAACTGGGAGCGAAGTAAAAAAGCAGAGGTGACATGTTTGTTCTTTAATCCTCCTTTGCTTGTACCCTATAATGATTTCACAATGATCATTCCCTTGCCTTGTTCCTATGTTGTCTGCTGTAATGAAAGAGAGCCATTCAATCTCTATTTGCAACTTGCAGAACTGGTTACATGGACCACCAGCACTTCTCAGCCCATAGCACATTGTATTGCCTCCTGGACATGTCCAGTGCTGAAGTGTAGTATCTACTGTTTTCAGCAATTTCTCTCTGATGCTTAAAGATGGAACCCAGCCAACTGGGATACCTTTATCAGACCCCAAATGCAAATAAAAATACTTGCTTCTTTTACTATAGTCTTCTTATTAGCTACAATTATCTACAAATAAATTTCTCAGACAAAACAATTCTTCTGAGTCTATCAAAAACAATATTGAATATTGTCAAGTTCAGGAATTTACTTTGGTCTCAATGGGATGCAGAGCAGGATTGCTCTGCAGAGACAGGTGCCCACTTTGAAAATTTTAAATGACTGAAGAACTTGTGAGAAGGAAGGGATTTCCTGCAGGCTCCAAAAGGTGAAAGGGTTAAATAAAGCAAGGTTGTCCAGAGGAGCAGTGTGAAGAGAAGTGGGGGGAATAACAAGTGAAGAAACCCAACACAACAGAAGCTATCTCATCTGCCATTCACTGAGAAATTTTGACCTTAGAAGGGGACAGGGAAGGATTTCAGATGCAATTGCAGTATCTAAAGCAAATGTTCATGCCACTCATTCATAAAGAGCTGTAAAAGAGGCCAAGACATAAAGCAGAAGAAAGAGAGAGGACAAAACTCAGTGAATTGAATTCTTCACACTTGCATACTGTAGAGGAGACTATTGTACCTCTAGACATGATTAACTGTGGGTGTGGTTTCCTGTGGCAGTAACTGTGTTCTCTGTGCCTGGGGTTTTATTCAGCCCTTCAGGTGTAATTACTTTAAACAAACCTGGGGCTCAGTGAAAAAGAACTCCAGTGCTAGTACTTTAATACTAGAAGATATCTGTCCTAAAGAAGCCGAAAGGGACTGACATAAATTAATATTTACAGAAGGATTTCTTGTTATTATTGGACCAGGATATTGGTTGCTATTGATGTAAAACCAGGATACTTTGTTTCCTTGCTAGATCTGCAGCTAACTTCTGTGGCTCTGGTAGCCAACTATTTATTACCATTAAAAAATCAAATACAAATAGTGCATTCTTGCAAATATTGCTTTTAATATAGTGTTGCATGAAGAACATTCCCATTAGTAGCTTGAAAAAAGTAGAAATGAGAAGTATCTTCTTTATTGCCTATATCTTTCCTTAGCAAGAAAAGAACCACAGCTTTTGTTTATAATCAGTCCTACCAATTCATATTTACTTTTATGTGGCTTAACGGAAGGGAAATGTGAACTTCTGATTCTCACAGAGCTGAAATTGAAATTAATAGTAACTGAGTTTGTGTGTATGAAATCAAAATTCGTATATAAGCAGGTGCTTATTTCTGGGAGTAAGAAAGATAAAGCTGAGCTGGAGACTTTTATGGGATTCTGAGAACCAGGACTTCACAGAGTTCCCATGGTGCTGTGGCTGTTCTTTTCAGCTTTCAGTTTTTCTTGATAGACTAGTCAAAAAGTATTTTAAATCTCAAAATAACAGGAATCTTCTGAGGAAAATGAAAGCTGTACTTTATTCCAGTAGGAGAGACTAGCACCCCATTTGGATTCTTCTAAGCTCTACCACAACTGTATGCAGCAGCTCACTGAGAGCAAATGCCATCTCCCAGTTGCTGCTGAAAGCAGAGACTTGACCTCAGACGGGAGCACAATTCGCTCCCCAGACTGTGCATCATGAAGTAACAAAGTCTTGTTCATGAAGTTTGAAGTCTTACAAAGCTGAGTTCTTCATAGGCTTCTCTCTCACGAATTCACTTTATACATACTTTAGACCTTTAAATGTTCTTGGTAGATGCTCTCAAACTCTTTAAATCACATCAGGTAAAAAGGCCAAGAACAGCACAGCCAAGAAAACCCAATCAGACCATAAGCAAGTCAGCAAGATAGGTATTGTTAGGAGAGTGGGTGTGCCAGGCAAACACCGCTAACCTGCTGAACACATCGCTATATGCTTCATTTGAGAGAGAGCTTTTTGTTGAGTAGCTTTGCTGCTAAGGGACTTTCACTGTGCAGTTATGGCAGAAAGGCCTTATCTTTTTATTTCATTAAGGAAGAGATAAGGTACAGCATAGCTGAAATGTACTTACTTAGCCAAACTGCTTGGTGGCTTACAAAGTCTGTATTAAAAAAGAAAAATAATGAGTTAGTTGAAATGACCCATGTTCATTTGCACCTCCCACATTTTATCTGGATCTGTGCAATCAGTATATATTAAAGACAGAACTATGTGTAAGCAGTGCATACAATATTCTTACTGATATGACTTATTCCATGATAAATGCCTGGTATTGCTGGGAGCTAGAAATGGTGACTAGAACAAGTGGTCTGAAAAATGTCTTTTTAAAAGGAGTGAGGAAAAAAACCTAGGATTTTAAACTCCTGCATAATAAATCCTTTATTAATTAATGACTGAAAGCAATATCAGTAAATCAATAATGCAAATCAAAAAACTTATCCTTTTCATATTTGCAGGGAAGGCACTTATTAATTCCATACTGATAAACTACTTATATTTTACCTTGGAGACTTCTATTTTATGCTTCAAATAATTTTTTAAAATGTAATTAAAGGAAAACATTAAATTTTAAGGGCAAGAATTTAATCACTGAGTTTAGCAAAGAGTCTTTTGGTGATTGTACCAAGCCATAAAAATGGCTAAGATTAAAAAATGTATTAATTTGCTTAATAGTACTGTGCGATATAACAAAAACGTAGAAAAAATATCTGATAGAACATTACTGGACAAATCACCTAGTAAAAAATAAAAATGATTCACCTGAATCTCCAAAATTGGCCAAAAACCCTCGTGTTTCTCAGTGAGGAGATGTCTTGGACTCATTCCCAAGCAGGAGGTGATAGCTTCATCCCTGATTTAATCTCCATAAAAAGAGATGTTGCACAGGAACAAAGAGGAAACACACTCTTGCCTAAAGATGTTAAATACAGACCTGTGCTCAATTTTTCCCCTTGCTGCAATGGTTACTGTGAAAATAAACTTCCAAGTGCCTTATCAATTTTGTTCATGTGTTGTTCTGATGCAGTGTGCAGCATTCCTGCTGAATTGCAAAATCTGTTCAGGGATTCTGTGGGACTGAGTGTGATCACCATGATGTATTATGTCTCAAAAATTGCCATTGCAGCATAACTCATGCCTCAGCTAAGTTGAATGAAAGATCTGCTTTCCTTTTCATGTCTGATCCTATGAAGACAACAGCACTTTCACAAAGTGTTGGATTTTGAAAACCATTCATATACTGTTATAATGACCTGTCTTGGAACATGAAAGCCTTTACAAAAATAGCCACGCTTACAGAAAAGCAATCGTTGGACGTTTTTTTCCACAGATGATTATTTTTCCATTTCTTTAGATAGAACAAAATTGTTTGGTGCTTTAGACATGGAGGAAAATTGTTAGTGTTTATTCTCCATTCAAGTTGTGTTACGGTGTGAATTGTTACGTTCTTCGTTGCATTCACTGTATAAGGAGAATAAATCTGCTGTGGGCTTCATCATTGCACAAATATACCTTTGTAGAACACTTTTCATTGTAATATCTGAACATAAGGCAGAACAATAAAATAAGGATAGCTGTAATTTCATGTGTACCGTGATGTAGAGAAACTTTGTTGTAGCAGCAAGCAAGGCTTTACGCATTCAAAGGTGGGCAATGATTCAGAGCGTTTCTTATATTTTTAATACTCAAACTGGATTATCAGGTCTGGAACCACTCATCCTGAATGGTGATATAGAAAGGTGGAGCTCCAACAGGAAAGGAAGAATGTTATAGTAATTTTTCCAGACTTGAGTCTGAGAGGCTTCCACTTGACTTCTAGTAGACCAAAGTCCACCAGTGTTGCACAAGATGTTGTTGTCCCCTAATATGTTATCTGCCCCTGTATGTTCAGTCCATGGAGGATCAGGAGTCTATCACGGTCTCTTGAAAAGAAATCACACTCAAGCTGGGGGACTTATGCCACCAATTTGGAAAGGCCCAGAACAAATCCAGGAAGTTGTCGAGTTGAACATCATCCCAATTCCCTAGCAGTGAGTGCTCTTTGGGCACTCATCAAACAGGTTTTGATAAAAATAGGCATAGATTAGGTTCAGTGTGAGAAAGAATACCCTTACAGAAACCAAAGTTTGGGAAGTGCTGTTTGGAATGATAGCTGAGGCTCTGGTGCAGGCTGTCCGGAGAAGCTGTGTATGCCCTGTCCCTGGAGGTGTTCAAGGCCAGGTTGTGTGGGGCTCTGGGCAGCCCTGCAGGGGGTTGGAACAGGATGATCTTTGATGTACTTTCCAACCCAAGATATTCTGTGATTCTACTATATGCAGAGAAAGAAGATTAAAACCTATATGGAGGAAACTCTGTTTTGATTTGTTCTGTAGTGCTACTGAATGCACCCAAAACTCCATTGATGTGAAATATCTTTGGAAGAATAGCTATACATTCATTAGCCTGATGTGTGTGTGCATGTGTGTTACTAAGGTTCTTAGCAATGGCTTGGGGGTGTTTTTCAAGGCCTTTCAGGGCATTTGATATAAACTTGAGGACTCAGAACACCGTAGGTGGAAGGAGGCAGCTACTGTTCTCTATTACATTTGACTGTGAGGGCACAGGAGCTAATGCACTAGCAAAAAATACATCTGTACAAAGTGATTCATTCTAATACAAAACTGTACAAGGATCTGCAGTGTGCGTACCTTAGGCAAAGGCAGAGTTGTCTCATGAAAGTGTACAGAGTTACTGCAGATGCCTGGTAATTCGTTTCCCACAAAAGACATTAATGGCTCAGAGGAGCTCTCACAGGGGTATAAAGTAAATAAGCTGTGTATTAACAGCTCCCAGGTAGACCTGCAGAGCAGCACTCAGGGAGCATTTTTCAGGAAACATTCCATGTGGCTGTCACTGCTTAATAGTCTCTGTCAGTAGAAAGACTGTTTGCTCTGAAAGACCTTGAACTTTGAACATGGTAGAATTGTTTGGCATATGTTTCATTTTTCATTTTAAAGGATGTACTAAGTCTTTAAAAGACAGAGAGAATATAACCTTATAGGAAAAAAACTGCTCTAAGTGGGACAAATTGTAAACTGTAACATATTCTTAGAGATCTGGCATGTTTCAGATGAAGATGTGGGTTCAAAATAGTGGAGAAAGTGCATCAGTGTGCTAATGATCAAATAAGGTTGTATCCAAGGTTATGCACACTCCAATATGTGTGGGTCAGAGTCTAATGCATGCTTATTTACCACCTCCTTCCTCATTATGTAGACTGCACGAGGCCATACAGACAGAGCAGTTCCTGATTACTTTCTCTAAAGGAAGCAAATGCTCAGAAATGTGCCATGTTCTCTGTTCTAGCCTGAGTATGTGGATGATCCACTGTGGTGAGAAACTGGCATGAGGACATGTCTTGCTGTGAAGTGAACAAGTTCCTGAGTCCCTAGGCATCATTTACCAATGTGTACTTCAGACTGGCCAGCCTTGGAAATACTGAAAACACTCCTACCTTACCCAGAGGACAATTTTTAATTGTTCTCTGTAACCTACCTGTGCTTTTGCTGTTTCAGGGACACCAATACAGATGTCATGTAACAAGACACTTATTTGACCAGCAGGTCATCATGGGCTCATTGTTTCCTGGTATTATTCCCTTGCAGTTGGATGGGAGTTTTCTTGGGGACAGATTAGGAAATAAAACCGAATCAACTGCCTTGACTATGCAACATAAGAGAAGCAGAAATCTGTGGAAGTGATTGGTGTTAAGGAGTGGGTGATCCTGGCTCAGCATCGATTGTACATCTCAAACTTGAGATGTGTGCACAGCATGTATACGGACTGGGCTCTGCTAACTTTCTACAAGATGTTGGTTTTAAAAAAAGCTTTTAAAGTACTCCATTATGTCACAAAATTGCATTGGCCAGTTCTTGCTATTTAGTTCCTAGGTGACGTGTAGGAAGAAGTGTGCAGGAAAGCTTGCTGCTTCCTTGTGGCTGTAATCAAATTATGCAAAAGCAGCACAGCTGATATAGTTAGTGTGCACAGTGCTGGCGAAAAGCCATAGTCTGTCCCAATAAAAAGAAATGCACTCCTGTAAGTAACTGAGTTCACCTCTTCTTGTCCTGTAATGAGGCAATAAAAAGAGGAGCTTGTAGAGAGCAGCAGGCTACAAGGGCAGGGTGGCAGCTTTCCTTGTGTAGCTCTGTGGCCTGTTCACAGTAAGCTCTCCTGCTTTTCTGGAGTGTTTTAAGTCTACACAAAATGGGCAGCAGGTAACTCGTGTGCAGGGAGGCTAAACAGGGTCAAAAAATATGCCTCACAGCCCTGGAAAGATAACTGAGAAAAATCATTGCTGAATTATTCTCAGGTTTCTGATATGCTCACTTACTAACATCGACGTGAGAGATGTAACATTTTTCATTATCTGCTTTTGATAAGTTTACGTTTAATTTTTAAATTAGTTTAATCTAAAATCGCAGTCGTTTGATCAAATTTATACGTTTTGCTGGTGCCATCAAGTGGCAAAATGTTGGATTGCAGAAGTCCAGCTCCATATGTACGTATGTGTCTATATATACACATGGCGTCATGGTTACTGCAGTTAATTCAGTTTAATCTGAATTCCAGCTAGCAGAAAGGCTGGTATTTTTGAGTATTACAGGTTAATAAATATGGCCAACATGTAAAACAAATTCAGAGACCCTTGTTGAAGAGATGCTAAAAAGAAGGGGCACAATGCTGTCTTCTGAATTTCTATTCCAGCTGTTTGCTCTCTTTTGTTACAAGTCCCTTTTTAGAGAATGTGTCCTTTTAGTCTTCATGTGTTATTTGTGTATTTCATATCACGTGTATATCAGCAGAGTGGAATGAATATTCAATTTGCTGTTATATACACTAAATTCACAAGCTGAGTAGCATGGTTTAAACTTACAGATCATCATTCATACGCACATCACTTTTTTTCAGCAGGGTGACATCATAGTACTGCTCAATGGGAAGGCCTCTGTGAAAGGAGAAAATGTAAATGCAAAATGCTTATTCCCTATATTCTTCTAAATATCCAAAACTGTGGGATCTGGTTTCACACTGATATATTCTGAACCCCTTGAGGAAGAACAAAGATACACTGTGTGTCTATCTCAAACAGAAACAGAATTTCAGCTGTAAGAGCGTTGAATCATATACTGTATTGAGAAACTGTTCTTCCTTCTAGCTAGAGCCTTTTTGGAGGTCTAGATAGTTATCTAGGATACAAGCAGGCTTAAAGATCATAAAGGACAATGAACCTAACTTACAGTTGTGTTACCAGGTAATGCTGAAGGGCTGACTCAAATAAGGACCAGCTGGTTATTTTAGATTTGCCAGCAGGAATGCTGGGTTAGGGCCAGAGCTGGGATTTGAATTTGGCTGACAAGGTGATGAACTGAGTTTGAGGCTAGGCCCCTTGGAATGCCTGTTTACATTTTTCCCAGACAGATGCAATAGTTGTCTTACCTGGGCCAACAGAGATTTCTGGGCTAAGGCTACTGGTCTAAGGCTAAGGTTGAGGTCAGGAAGTGAGAAAGGAAGAGCTACACTCAAGTTCTATTTGGGACCAAAGAGACTGTGAGTATGTATAGGTGTGGTGTCAGCAGGACCCTGTGTCTAAGCTGAAGTGTAGGCAGAAAGCACCGGGTTGGGGTCTGACCTGGCAGGGAAGAGTGGGGCTTATGACTTCGTGTGGAAAGTGCTACTACGTCTTTTCATTTTCTGTCAGCCCTAAGCTAGTAGGCTTTTCATGTGCTAGGTGAAGTCCAAAATCCAGAAGCCAAGGAGTTCACAACCCATAGGAACTATTATAATCTCCACTGGAACCTCTGTGCAAAAATCAGGTTTACTGCTCAGCCCATGAGTCAAGGACAGGGCCTGGACAGAGCAAAGCAGGGGAGGCAGACACATCCTGAACTCATCTGATCCTGTGCAATGGCACCACAGGGGGATGCTACACTGCTGAACTGGGTCTGACTGCATCACGATGGGTGAATGGCAGCTTTCAGTCCAAGCTGTATCGTTTAGCACTGAAAGAGCAAAGTGTGCTAAGAGTTTGAGAAGGAACCTTGAGTCAGAAAACAAACCCCAGAGCTCAACTCCTCAGCTGTTGTCTAATGAAGACAGATCACTTTCTGAAAAAGCTGTGCATCTGCTTGTCATTTTTTATGCCTATGGGATTTGTGGATGCTGAACTTTAGTGTAAATTAGGCCACTAGACACTTTTAATGTCAGGAAGGGTGTCTGGGACAGCAGTCAAGAATAAATCATTATCAACAGATGGGCAAAACAAAACAAACAAACAAAAAAGGAATTATGGAAATGTGGAATTCTAAGTTTTTCAACATAATACTCTGCAGAGATAATGTGGGTGCCAATATATTCACACATCAATATTTCAGGTTTTGTGAAAAGGGTGAAAATTTAAAATGCTCCTTTTCTGGAATTCAGGTATTTGCATGTTTCAGTCTACACTGCTCTCTAAACCGTTAACTGTCTATTCTTGTTAAAATCCCTTTACTTCAACATTTTGACTGTGAAAAGTATTTGTTGAGCGTACCTTGGCCAAGGGAATACATCACTACCAAAATGAAGATGTCCTCTCACAAGTGTGCACGGTGACCTGTGGTCTTTTGGCAATACAGGAAGAACAGTTCCTCCATGCTCCCTTTCTGTTCCCCCAGGAAGCTTGCAGTGATGAAGGGATTCCCTGAACTCTTCATATCTGAAGGAAAGAACACCCCAAAATAATCCTTTTACAGCAGCAATGGTGATGGTTGCTCCAAGAATGAAAATGTGGTTTTATTTTCTTGGTTCTGAGTTAAGTCTTATTTTGGGTGACGAACTGGCACTAGAAGTACAGTGGTGACTGGCAATTGTCAATAAAGGTTGAATCAAGTCTATTATGTTTTGATCAATGAGTTAGAAAGAAGCTGATATGTGCAGCATGTACATCTCACAAAACCTTAGCTTCCAGCATGTAGATTCCTACACTGTCCCATCAGTGAGCACTACAGAGTGGCATATAGACAGTGAACATATACAGTGACACAGATGGAAGCATTAACATCTAATTCCCACTGATTTCAGAATTTGCTGTTTGTGCCTTTGAGAGCCTTACCTCTCAGTCTCTAGAGAGGGGTGAGTGAAGCACCTGGACATGGTTGCAGACCAGGAAACATTTGTTGCCTTGGGGTAGCCACTGCTCTGCTACCGCAACACAGGAATGGTGAATCAGGATGTGGTGAACCATACAGATATTGCAACTTGCTCCCAGCCAGCTTGGACTTCTCTGCCATGTGCTCCAAAGTATGGCGTGGATCTAAGTGCATGGGTACGATTTCTGATGGAGAGGGTATATCAGCTAAAGAAGTAGAGATATTATTAATCCTTGGGAATATTGATCATTAATTTGGAACCAGATGGGGTGAGTGTTTGGATTAAATTATACCCGGGAGAAGCACCACTCTACATGTACTGGCTGGATTCAGGCTTACAGTGTTTTTCAGGTGTTTCTCCTAAGTGTGACTAGTCTTAAATTGATTTGAAGGTAGAATAATAACCTCGAGTCTGCATGTTTTAAAATGTAAAGAGAAATTGATCCATTATTATGTGGCTGTATTTCAACAAGCTTTACAATCCTGACTTTTGTTGTGAGTTTAGGCTTTTAAGAAGGAAAAAAGAAATAGCAACAAAAACAAACAAACAAACTTGTCCAAGTGCATTTAGATCCCAGAGTTCTTCTGTCAGAATCCTTTGTATTCAAACAGATCTGAGGGAACTCTAGGAGAAAGGTGGTGATGTATGATATATGGATGCTGCTGTTGTGTGGTGATTTGTTCTCTGTGGTCTGCTGGCAGTGCAGTGCCATCCTGTCACTTGGTTTCATCCTTGGATATCAGCACCACTCTGCTGCCACCCAGTGCTGCTCCTTTGTGCCAGGAAAGGTTCAGATTGGATATCAGGAAAAAATCCTTCTTAGAAAGAGTGGTGATGCATTGGAACCCAAGAAGGTGGTGGAGTCATTGTCCCTGGAGGTGTTTGAAAACTGTATAGATGTGACACTAAGGGACGTGGTCAGTGGGCATGGTGGGGATGGGTTGGTGTTTGGATTAGATGACCTTAGTGGTCTTTTCTAACCTTAATGATTCTGTGATTCTATGATTTTGCCATTATGCAAGGGACAATACATTTGTGTTGTAGTATGAACCAAAATAAAAAGCTGATATTCTGAGGATTATCAGAAAGCTTAAATTTCTGAAGGAACTTAAGCATCCATTTCTTACATTCTTCCTAAATCTTCCTTTCCACTTTCTCAGAGTAGTCAGGCAGACACTGCCCCATCTGCATGGCTGTGATATTTGTATTCATTAAACCACTCTCATTGGAAACATTAATAAATCATCCCTGTTGGCTGCTATCTCTAGGTTACTAATTAACATAGCAGCCATTTTATGTAAGCAGTAGGATGAAGCATTGCGCATACAGATCCCCGAGTCTGATGCTCATTCAGCCCAAACAAGGCTCTGTAAAGCTTAAAATGTCTCCAAGTCTCATTCTCATAAAGAAATATTTATAGTTGATATTGATCCAGTGATATTAAAGATTTTGAGGACATAGAGAAACAGTGTCTCTGCCCAGAAAATATCAATTGGAGCCTCAGATGGATTGACTTTTAAAGAAGATACTGTGAACAAAGTACTACTGCTCATTCAGCATCTCAGCAGTATAGCCAATGATTTAATACAGGTTTTCTGTTTCTGAAATCCATGATTCTAGATGAATGCTGCCAGACAACTTAAAACTTTCTAGCTCTTTTGTTCTGGCAGAAGAAAGAACAAGAAATTAATGTTCTGGTATCAGAACATCTATTTGCAGGCACCTTTTTATTTTAGAAAAGTTGCATTTTTGCCTTCAAATTTCTTTTTGTTCTATGAAGCTCAAACCAAAGTGTATGAATAAAGTGTCTTAGATTGTGAGCTTGTGAAGCCAATAACTGATTTGATCAGCACATGAAGCAAACAACTGAACGTGTGTTACCAACAGCTTCCAGATCTGTGGAAAGTGTTTTCTTAGAGGAATAGAATTAGGACTTAATTCTGTATGAGCTTACATAGGATCCATTGGCACAAGCATTTTAATTTGCATCAGGAGTGCACTTCTGACATGAATCTGTAATAGTCTCTATTTTGCAGTGCCTTGGCTTGGAGGACGTGAAGTGGGTTCATTCTGGATGAAATAAACTGGAAGATGTGCTACAGGAATGCAGCAGGAGTATAATGCAGTACTCAGTCCCTGGAATCATACTAGAGGTAATCTAAACTAAACAGCATCTGAAATTCAATTTTCTCAGAACATAAAAAATAGTAGAAGAAGTCAGCTATAGTAGTAAAACAGAACGCATGTATGTTACATGAAAACTCAAAACTAAATATTGTAACAACAGAGATAAGATCTCCTGTCAAAGAACGCTGACTTGAATCTAACCCTTGAATTTGTTGCCTATCTAAAAAAATAGAAATGTAGATCCCAAAATAATTTTGGCATTAGTACTGAGCACCATGAAGATTCAGATTGTCAGAAATTTAAAAGCTCTTGGCATTCTGCCATATGCTGACCCCCAGCTAACAGTTTAACTAGCCCATAAAATAATATAATAATGCATTGGTTCCAAAAACTTTCTTATTACATGTTAATAACTACCAAAGCAAACTGCAGGTTTCCTGTCGTTAAATTTTAATCTTTATGTTTATCTCAGTAATTCTAGGTCAATCTGTGATCTAGAAAAAGGGTTCAAAACAGGACTAGATCAAAGAAGAACATGATAAACATTGGTGATCCATTTGTGAAATATGTTCCTTTTTTATTTTTTATTTTATTTTTTTCCAAATTGGAAATACAATATACATGTCATTTTTATTTTTCATGAAAATTATTTCGAGAGATATTTGAACCCTAAAACCATAACATAATATATTTTCAGTTATAATCATGTTTCCCAGAGAACTGACAGACCATAGCATTAGGCTATAATGGAAAGAAAAGAATATGCCAGAAAAATACAACCCTTAGAAAAATACTTTTTAGTAACAGCAATTGGATATCAAATACTTCTAATGGAATCATTTTTCTGTGTGAATTTAATTCTTACCTGTCTTGCAAAACAGTTGGAGGTGAAGGAATTTGAAATGCAGTCAGTACCTCATTGGACTCAAAGGTTCTTGATAAGATTGTCTTTCCTCCCGTTTCTCTGTGGTAGTGTAGCAGGTCATGCAACATCGTCATTTTTCATATCTGATGTTCTAGGGGAGGATAGAAGGATAAAATACCAAATAATCAGAGGTTTTGCCTATGCATACAGGTGCTAAATAAGGAACATAGATGAGTTCTGCATATTTTGGTTAAGTGTAGACTGGAAGTGACTGCTGCTTTTACTCCAGCTATTGATCATTTCTTTCATACACTTTCAAGTAATGGCTGAAGGAAATTTGGAGTTGCACTCAGGATGTCTCACTTGTGATCATTTGGATTCAGTGTAATGTTCCAGTACCACTCTGGAAAAGGTGATACCGTTCCCTTAAAATTTCACATACAATTTTTTTTTCTAGTTGTCACGATTGTCATTCTACCTGTGTGCTGAGAGGAAGTACTTTAGTGCTCCTGTCACTTGCATTTCAACACTGGTGACAAAGGCACATAATCTAATGAGCTCTATGTGAGGAGAGGTAGGTAGTATACCAAGTCAGTATAAGCATACCGTCAGGTTCAGACAGCATTCTGCTGTCTAGGACCTTATGCAAGTGTTTGTATCTGAACAGGTTGCCTCTGTTCAGAGCTGCTCTGGTGTGCAAGACAAAAGTATTGAGAGCAAAGTATTGTCCTTATTACTTGTTAAAGCTCTGGCTGACAGCATTGGGAGTCTTCTGTCAAATAACACCAGCAACTTCTTAGATAAAGCGTATGAAGAAGCACTGCTGTTTCCTCCTCCTACAACAGGAGCCAGCAGAACATTCCCTTGTATCTATGCCTTGCTTTTTATGGAAAAATTCTACATTTTCCACATTTGCTCTACGTCAAACCTAGGGCAGGTATATAATAGATTTTAGTAGAAGTTTATAGATACAAAAGGAACTCTGCTCTCCACAAATGTTGGTAAGACTCCTTTTGGTTAATGACTAATGGCTCATTGTATTTAGAATGTCGAGATGTTCTTGTTTTATCACCTCACATTTTGACTTATACCTTTAACCTTCTTCTGTACTACTTTTGGATACAGAACTTCTAATGGCAAGAGGAGTCTGAGAGTAGTATCAGGAAGAAGGGAACAATTTAAGTTCATCTCATTGGTACATGTTTGCAATCCTGACTTTGGCAAAGGTTTGACAAATTTGATATTTTCATCAAGCTCTCTTCAGGCATGCATCAGTGAAATGCAAAGGTTTCGCTTCCACTTACTAAAACAGGAAAATAATTTGTAAATATTTGAAACATTACTATTCTAGGATGTTCAGGCATTTAGGCCAGTTATATCACAAGAATAAAGGTTGGTATAATATGTTCAAAAGAAAAAATTAAAATGAATTGTGTCTTGTTGGCAATTTCTAGAGTGATGTGTGGTCTGCTGTGGTATCTACATGAGCAGTATAGGAATCTGATACAGTTGACTCAAATTCAAGTACTACTGCCTTGCAAAGAGAAAAATGTTTGGAGTTGTTGACTCACAATTGACATTACAGGAAAGAAATAGAAGCCGTACTTTCCTTTGTAACTACTTTGGTTCTGCTCTATGATGTAGTTCCTCTCCATCTAGCTTTCCTACCCTTTCTGGGAAATATGTTCCTGGCTGATGGAATTTCAAGTGAGGTCTATAACTCTTTTGCTCTTTAATGTTGCGCATATGGGGAGGTGCCAAAGTTCTCATCTTCTTTGGATTGTCCCCTTCTATTCTGCTTTTGTGAAGCCCTGTCTGGAATATTGCATCCAGGCCTGGGGTCCCCAGCTAAGGAAAGACAGGGAGGTGTTGCAGTGTGTCTGGAGGAGGGCTGCAAAAATGATCGGAGGGCTGGAGCACCTCCCTTATGAAGAAAGGCTGAGGGAATTGGACTTGTTCAGCCTGGAGAAGAGAAGGCTTCAGGTAGACCTCACTGTACTTGGAAGGAACTTATAAACAGTAGGTAGACCAACATTTTACACAGTCTGATAGATAAGGGAAATTGATTTCAAGCTAAAAGAGAGGAGATTTAGATTAGGTGGTAGGGAGAAGGCTTTTACTCAGAGGGCGGTGAGGCCCTGGCACAGCTGCTCAGAGAAGCTGTGGATGCCCCATCCCTGGAGGAGTTCAAGGCCAGGTTGAATGGGGCTCTGGACAGCCTGAGCTGGGGGGTGGCAGCCCTGCGCATGATTGTACTGGATAATATTTAGGGTCTCTCCCAACCCAAGTCATTTATTAGTCTATACCTACAAACACCACATTGTAGACAGTCTTATATTTGTGGAAGGACCCAATTCCCTGTCTTGTTCTGCTGCTTGAGAAACTGGCTTGGCTACTCCACAGAAGAAACCAAGGCTCTTATGGCTCAGTGAGGCCACCAAAGCTAAAGGACTGGCAATAGATGGAAAAGGATACTGTTAGGAGAGAGATAATGGAATAATAAGCTAGGTGGAGCTAGCTATTGGCAGGACCAAAATCTCAAGTCCTTTCTGATCCAGAGAAAATTATTTACATAGGTTAGCTCAAAAGGAAATCACTGGTTTCCAAAGGATTACGTCTTTCAAAGCAGGAAGCACAATCCTTCACATTTCACCCCCAGAGTTTTCAGAAGTCCATGGCTAAGACAATAAATCATCTCACTATGAGCCTTAAGGTTACAAAAAGGCCAGTTAGGAAGCCAGGAAGATACAGAAAAACTAATCTGAAGAATCATATCTCTATAAAAAATAACAAATGTAACAATCTTTTAAATGCAGTGTTTACCAAAGAGATCTTATTCCAAAGCAGAGGATTAGTCCCTCTTTTCTCAAGCGTGTCTTTCTGTATTCAGAAGAAAAGGTTAGATGGAAATCATATAGAGCAAAAGCACAGGCTAAGCCTACCTTCTTGTTCAGTGAGACACAGTGTGGGTAAGGTTTGTCCTGTGTTCTAGTAGTGTTTGACATCACTATGAGAGAATGTTGGGGATCTTCTGGAGTGATGCCTGCAGTGAGGCAGCTGGTGATGTTAGCAGCTGGGTACCTACAGCATGCAGGGATAGGAGATGTTACAGCACACTTGGGAGCAGAGGTCTGAGATACAAGTAGCTGGTGATATGTTTTACCTTTCCTGAATGAAGTAGTAAGTATAGCCACAAACCAAGCCAAAATACATTTCACTAAGAAAATTTGACCATGTTGAATATAATTGGAAAGGACTGAATGAAGCCGTAGGGATGTTACTAAATTCTTCCCAAACTGGCTGAGCCTAAAACATTTCACATGAGGCGAGCAGCATGGCATCAGGTCATTTATGAGTTATGACATATTATTTCCATTCCCAGAGACATCAATATCCTTTGTTTGTGTCTTTTGTGGGATTTTCACTCTGTCTTTCAAAATAGTTGGATCTGGCACCAATGGAGTATGGATTCTGGTTAGTTGGTTTGCTGGATGTTTCTGCGTGCCTGTGCTTGACAGACATGGTGATAGATTTTGATCTGTTTTACTTTCTTCTGCTGACCTTTTCTTTTCTCTCAATCTGTTTTTTTGTTTGAGTTGAATTACTGTCAAAATAAATGGATGTGTTTGAAGAGAGTGTTTTTGTTCTGTTGTTTCTTTCACCAAGCAGGGTAAAATTAGCTGGAGATCCTACTTTCTGTGGAAATGTGGTGGGGAAAAAAAAGCTGGAAGCGAGTCATTTGGCAAGTGATAATACATAAACAGGTTTTCTAATACCGATTAAATGGACTGTTGTGTTATCAGCCAGTGCAGCTGGTAATTGGTTTATTATGGTTTTGGAACACTGGTTTGTTTTTAACGTGAATAGCTTGGCCATCACATTAAAGGGAACTGCACATTAATGTCTTTGCTATGTACAAGTGTGATAGCTCTATCAGTAATTCTCAGAGTTCACAAGTTCGATATATTCAAAAAAATAATATTTTTAATGTTTCTTTCTCATGCTTCAACTTAGTCTAGACCAGAATGTATGGAAAGGCTTGGAAGAATCTTTTCCTTCATTAATTTCATTAATTACTCAACTGTTGAAAAACTCTATTATTTCCTTCCAAATATGTCACATGAGATTTAGAGTTGTGGTTTTAAGATACCACAGGAATGACATTCATTATTTGTTTTTATGGAGGGTGTGTTTGGGGTAAAATATCTTAGATCATCACTTGTACCCTCTGAATCCTCACACAGGAGATATCTCCCAGCATGTAAACCTGTCACTGCCTGCTGAGAAGTTGGTTGTATCTCTGTTATATAATCATCTCCCACCTGTATCTGCAAGTTAGTGAGTTTCTGTGGGAAACAACTGCTTGGGAGGACTAAGGTCCATTAGACCTCTTTTTATTGCCCCCTTACTGGGCTACAGGGATTGTTCTGTGCTGATGTGATGAAAGAATTAGAGAAAGATGGATGTCATAAGATCACAGAATCTTATCACAGATCACAAAATGGTTGAGGTTGGCAGGGATCTCTGCTAAGTTCTTTTGCCCAAATCCTGCTCAAGCAGTGTCAGCTAGAGCAGGCCGTCCAGGACCATGTCCAGGCATTTGTTATCTCCAATAAGAGAAACTCCAGAACCCGTCTAAGCAGCCTGTGCCAGCACACAGTCATATTCACAGTAAAAGTGTGTCCTGATGTTCAGAGTCTCCTGTTTTCCAGTTTGTGCCCATTGCCTTCGGTCCTGTTACTGGGCTCTACTTGAAAAGAGATTCCCTTTAGGTATTTGAATACACTGATGAGATTCCCCATGAATCTTCTGTAGGCTAAGCAGCCCCAGCTCAGCCTTTCTTCGCAGGAGAGATGACTTGCTGTCAACATTCTTTCTCATCTAGTTCAGGTTAGCTGTTGGCCTTCTTTGCGTTACGTTCAACAGGAGGTCCATGAGGACCCTCAGGCCTTCATCTGCAAAGCTGCTTTCCAGCTGGATAACCCCCAGCAAGTAGTGATACTTGGGGTTTTTCATTTCCAGGTGCAGGACTTCGTCCTTCTTGTTAAACTACTTGAGGTTTCTGCCAACCCATCTTGTGTCCTCAAGAATGTGGAGAATAAATCTGTCACAATCAGATCTATTTCTGAAACACTGTGGAAATCAGAAAGGAAAAGTTGAAATGAGGTAACATGAAGAAATATATGATTGCTTATAATTCTTCTCAGGTTATTCAGGTTATTCAGGAGACCAAAAAGAAATAGAGCTCAACCCAGTCCCAAAAATGACAGCTATAAGGCTGAGAACTTTACTAAGCTAGATAGTTATGCATAATAAGTATGTTCTATATTAAGTTCCTTTGAGTTCCTTCTGTTTTTATCAGTATGAGGCTCTTTTTTGGTCTTGCCCACATTTTTTTTGCTTCTTACACCAGTAGCCAATTGACTGCTTGCTTCCATTACCCTACAAACTGGCAAAGGTGTCCCCATGCTGGAGGCAGCTTTGTGGAAAGTGTGAACAAAAGTGATCCCTCTTCCTGGAGCAAAGGGAAGAAGGAGCTTTGTAACAAGGCAACTTAAAAACTGGAGGTAGTCTACCTCGTTAAGCAGAATATTCAGCTCCCAAGGCATAAAGTCACTTACTAGTTCTGACACACAGATAAACTAGCTGTTTGTGTTTTGCATATGCATGTTCTCAGATCAGAGCTGTTTCAAACTTTTCAATAACTAATACAGAAAGGATGAAGATTTTCAGAGACAATTACTAAACGAGTACCTTTGCATATGGAATACATGGAATACTGAATTGTGCAATCGTCTCAATTGGAAGGGACCCTTAAAGGCCATCTAGTCTAACTCCTCTGTAATGAACAGGGACACTTACAGCTGCATCAGTGTGCTCAGAGCTCCGTCCAGCTCCCAGCTGCTCTGTCAGGCTGTCACGGCGACCAGCAGCACAGTCTGTAATGGAATTCGTTTTTCAGTGTTCTTTCTGCCCTCAGGTGGCCACACGGCGGTGCTGCAGATTTGCCACCACGACGTGGTTTTCAAAAGCTTGCTTTGCACTTCGTTACTCCTAATGTCTGGCTTTTACTTTACAAAAGCATGAAGTGCTTTTCTGTATACATTGTATTTACTTATGTAATTTAGCTGAGCATTAGATTATCTAAATTCTCAAATTCATTACATACAATTTTCTTAGTTTTATATGATAACACAGAATGCAAAGATGTGACTTGCATGTCAGGAAGAGCAGGTAAGAATCATTTCTTTTTTAGTCACGAATGTCATTTCAGTTCAAGGATCTATGCCTCACTTTGTCTGTATGATACACATTGCATCATTGCATACAGCAGCTCCTTCACTTCTGTGACTCTTCAGTTATAAAAACCCCACTCAAAGTTTCTTTGTTAAATCAATCGATTAATAAATGAACTGATTCCAGTGAAGTTCCTTTACATTGATCCCAGAATGAGGACAAGTTTATACCATAAAGCCAAGTATGTTTTATAAAGACTCTGTGCAGTTTAAGGGTTTTGTTTAGGGCTGTGCAGTTTCATTTAAGGCCTAAGTGAGCTGCTGCTTATCACTCTTCTGATGATCAAACCTACGGAGAAAGAATAGGGACATATACATGCACAGCAGCCACTCTCTAGATGCTAAGGATCTGAATAGGAAATGTCATAGCAGAGAAATAATAGGAAAAAAACCAGCCTAGAATGCAATAGTATTTTAAGAGAGCAATGTTACACAAAACAAGAACAGAATAGATTATTCACTGTCAAGTTAACACTAACAAGATGAGAGTATTTTGCTGTTATAATAACATATTTATTAGGAAACAACAACAACAACAACAAAAGCACTATTTTCTGTATTTACTTCAGACTTTCCGTACCTGCTCCTTTTCCACAGTCAGCCCAAGTTACCATACCCCAATCATTCTGACATCTGGAGAAATTAGACGAATTCCCTTTGAGGGCTATTGCACCAGCACAGACTGCGCTGCTGTTGTGCCCATTTCAACATGCACCACCTGCACTTGGCATGACAGGGAAATAAGACCCAGAAAGCATTTACCACTTGTTGTAAATCTGAGATGGGGGTGGATTCTGCAGTCCTCCAGGCAACCCTTGGGGATTCATAAACTCATGTGCAGTATAAATATGTGCAGGCATGTGGAAATGTCTTCCTGGATGGAACTTGGGGAAGCAAGGAGCAGTGGCTGAGCTGATGTGGGAAGTGTGTTCTGACAACAATCTGCTCTTTCCCCTTACCTGCTCTTTTCACATACAACTGACATTTCAACTTCAAGAGCAGTTCAGAACCAGCTGCATTCACGCTTCCCTATTTCAAGCCACATGTGATTCCCAGCACAATAGGTACTGCAGTGTGCGTTCCCTGGCATTTAATGTCCTTGTAGGCATCTAGATTACACTGCTGCCTTCTCCTTCCCAGCTGCCAAAAACATCAGCTGCAGAATCAAAATGTACCATTTTGTTTGAGATGCCTCTTGAAAGGAAACTTGCAGCTTGGTGCTGATCCATAGAGGCAAGTGGGTTAAACAAAGACGATCTTGGGACCCAGCATATACTTTTATTTTAAACTTGAGCCTCTCTCTTCAACAGCAGGGTTCAGAGAGAGTTTATCCCCATTTTTTTTACAAATAAACTTCTCCGTATTGGTCCCATAATGTAATTAATTCTCAACACTTTTATTACCCCAAGATACAGATGTTCTTTATGTACTCACAGAGTTGAGCAGCTAAGAGAAGCAGCTGATTTTACAAAGTTCCTCTCTGTTCTCCCGCACAAATCCATGCAAACAGCCCAGCTAATTCCTGCTGCGAATGAACAGTACACGAGGGTCATCGGAAAATGCTGCCTCTGTTCAGCACCGACACAAATTGTAAATCTATTTGTTTTCAACTGAAAAAAAATGGTATAAAAGCCCCTCAGAGATGTAAGATGACCTACTACACACTTGGATTCTCAGTGATGCGAAGTAATTTAGTATATTCTCTTTGATGTGAGGC